GATACAGTCAGAGTATCTGATACCTATACCGTGTTGAGTAACAACACGCTCGTTGCTCTATCGGAAACTCTAAGCAACAGTTGGAAACTAGTCGCCACCGATTTGCATAAATTCATAAACGGTAATAATCATGTTATGTGTATTCTGTTGTAATATGTGCAGTCCGCATCACCGATCCCGCATGGCTCACAAAAATTTCTCTTGTTCTTCTATGACAATTTCAACATTGGCACGACTGAACCGATGATCAATGCTAGTTCCTATATAAGAAGCAATATTCATGGTAAAGATTAACATTATTCCATCATTGTGAATAATATGATAATTTTAATAATTGACATCATTATATGCAGACATCGACAATCATAACATCGGCAGTCACAACGCGACAATCATTTTGCAGACGTGATGTTGCGCCGACAACTGCTTCACCGACAATCAAACATTCAGAATAATGCTTTTCTGGTAGCTGCTGGGATGGTGATGCGTTACTATTTGATATCCGAATTGTTATACGAGTGAGGGTTACCTAATACTAAGTGATTATTAAGTAATAGTAATCTGCATAAATCTGGCTTTCAACTTTGGATTTACAAAATATTATTTAAGATGACTTCCCGTTCACAGCTACGCCGGAACGTTTGCCTGCGACTTATTACATCGACGTTTGGATATACAAAGACGAAATAAACCTCAATTGTGTTACGACCTACACCAACCCGCTGCTGTCATCAATAGTAATCAACAAAGCACTCGTGTATTGAGCTTATCGGATATTATAATTTATTTTTCTATTACTGGGTATTGCTTCGTTTTGTTCAACTTTTTTTTTCTTTCTACATACTCACATTTACGTAAATTTAACCAATACTTAATTTAAAAAACAGCACAAGCAAAATTGGATTGCGTTTTAGTTAACGTAAAAGTTTAAAGAAACACAACCTGACATTTTGAAAACGTTATAACGAAATGGGTGGCTGTAGTTGATCTATCCTCCGTTTTCTCAACTGTTCTTATATATCTTACCCAATTTTTTTGCTACACTTAATTTTAATATCATACGCATTAATATTATAGAATAGAAATAAAACTTAAGGTAGAGAGTAATTTGAGCAAAAATTAAAGTTTTTACAAAGTGAATTAAACCGTTTATAAAATAACATTGATATTCAGAGTCAATAAATCAGAACATATTTGTAATAGATTCAATGAAAATGGACAAAATTGAATTGGTGCAAAAATGGCAGTTCCGTAAAGATCAGATCTGAAACACAATCGCTTAAGTTGGCGAACTCGGAAAGTTCAACATTATTACTTTGTCAAGAAACTTATTTTTAATACAGGCATGAAACACAGTTGCCTTTCTGGTGTTGACATACCCAATAAGAAATGATTACAACAGACGAGAATAATAATTGCAATTGGAAACACTGCTTCTAAACAGTTCTCCATATCGTTATTAGTAGATACAGTACTTGAAATTGTCATCGACTTTAATAGCGGGCAATGAACGCAAAAAACAATTTGTTTATTTCTGCACAGTAAGAGAATTTAAACACGTAAATGCTAAATTATTATATCAATTTAAAATTAATGGACGTGTAAAGCGAACGACATTTTCATCCATTCTAGACGCTATTTGTAATTAATCACTATCCAGATTCACTCACAAAACTTACCGTAATTATGGATATTGAACGCTATTTACTTTAATTATTATGAGAAAACTTGCTGATTATTCAGAAATATCCATCTTGATCTAATGTTAGCAAACAATGTCTCGCGTTTAGGAAGAGACCGGCAGTACTTACTGCTCTCAACAGAATCGTAAAATGCTCGTTACGACACAGCGATAATAGTTCAATCGGTTATACTAATTAGTTTAAGTGATGTTTACGATTGATGTAATCGTATATAAACCAAGCTTCGCGTGGGAGTTTTCAAGCACATAACGTTTTTGAGTTTTAAAAAGAAAAAAAAAAGGATGACTCTGAGCGAACTCCAATGCGGTGTGTGTAAAGAGCTAAAGCCCAATCCTCGAGAAGCACAGTGTTGTCACAAACTCTTTTGCCGCGATTGTATCAAAAGTCTCCGAAATGCCGAACGCTGTCCAGCCTGCGGAGCAAACGCTAGCTTCCGCGACAATGTTTTTGCAACGAGAATGATCAATAGCAAGCTCACTACGATCGGTCGCCGTGCGTCTACTGACTCCAAATCTGATATGGATATCTTTGGCGCTTTTCCCATCACCATATTGACCCTGACTGGCAAGAAAATGTTTGTCGTTGTCGAGAAAAGTGACACGGTCAATATTCTCAAGCTTAAGATTGAACAAAAAGATGGTATGCGTTTTCATGGGGGATGGGATTGCTTTCTGAACATTAAAATGATTTATTTTCCCGTTCCCGTACGTAGGTACCCCTCCGGAATATCAGCGTTTGATTTTCCTGGGTAAGCAACTGGAGAATCATCTGACCATCTCAAACTATAAAATCGAGAGCGGCGTGACTGTGCATATGGTAGAGCGTTCTAAGAGTGGCTAACGAGATAAGAGTCATTGCGGAACCAGTTGCATGTTTTCGTGTAGATACAGTATAAAAGAGTAGGTGTACAGTTTTAAATTTCAAATACTTGCGTGACTGACGGAATTTCTTGAACACAGTCTTAAAAGAATTCAATCTATGACATAGTCTTCTTCATTTGATTGTAAACATCCATAAAGCGCCGTCTTTCTTTCTTTCTTTCTTTCTTTCTTTTTTCTTTCTTTTATTCCAATTAACACAATTGAATTACTTAAGATGTATATATACGCGGTAGCAGTAAAAGAAAAAGTCATAAACTGTAAAATCTGAAGACGCGCGAAAGTAATAAAAACATTTAAAATAGTGATATTTCTAAGTAAGAGCGTGAGTTGTGCAAACCGTATTAAACGTGTGATCATAAGAATTCTCAAAATCACAGTAGTAGCTAGTGTCACACCCTCACGCACATAATAGAGAATGTCAATTTGATCATAAAATTCTCTCCTTGTATCACTCGAATAAACAAGCGTCCAACAGTTTATTAACTTATTCCAATTCACTAATAATTTTCTGCCAATGATCAAAGACATGGCTATTACGAAAAGAAATTAAGTCCTTTTTTTTTCTATATACAATAAAATAAAGTACAATACAATGTGCTTTTTTTTTTTTTGAATCATATTACTTCCCATTCAAAAGCCCCACTCTGGCATTCTGTCCCTTACCTCCCTCTCTTCCGTTTTGGTAAGGAGTTAACAGTATTGGAATGATCAATAAAATCGGGCATGCATGATTGATTGTCGTTATGTAATTCTTTAAATGGTTTGTGTCATGTAGCCAAAATCTTTACGGCAAGCTTGCATGTAGGACGAATTTTAAAGTACAGCACATATGTCAGACTGGAATCTATGTCCATTCGGATGGACATGTCAGATGGAAATTTATGTCTATCCCAAATGAACATATATGTCAGATTAGAATCATAAAGACTATCAGGTAACAACATTACGATATTAACGCTACTGCATATAAATACGTCATCATACACAAAACGATGTATTTAGTTAACATTGTTACATTGACATTGTGAGGGTGACAGGTTAAGTTGCAAATGGCAACAGCTTTGCGACAAGTGCATCGAGCATTGAACAATTAATCTTACAACTACATCTAATCATGGTTAAACTGACCAAGCTTTGAGCCAAAGCAGCTTTATCATTTTGACAGAATGCTTTGAGTTACAGAATACGTCAGTGATTGTCTTTCTATTTGTAAGCAAATACAATTGTGAATAAACATCGCTTGATCTGACATATCGTTGTGAAAGAGCACTTTGAGTTACTGAATACGTTACCGAATACTTCATTCTATTAGTGCGGAATGCAAATACAATCAGTGAGCACGATCGACATACAATTGTGAATATGCTTGAATTACTAAAAAAGTTAGTAGTGATGACTCTTGTATAGTGAAAGATGAGAGTATTAAAATAGCGTAAGTTACAGAATACGTTAGCGTGAGTATCGATATGCAAAATTCACTCATTTTATGATGTTTAGGACTTAACCATTTGGGTTTAAGCTTAAAGTTGTGCGACACACATCTACCAGCCAACTTGTCAACCAAATTTGGGCAAATGCGGACGGATCGTGTGAAATTAACAGATCTTCGGTTTCTATTTACTACTCATCCCTATTACTATTACTACAGAGAAGCTATAGACAGAATGATACGCTAATTATACGATTATTCTATGTCGATTTACGAATAAACATTTGAAATTAATTAATATTATTATACGTATTCTTCAATTACATCCACTGAGTGAATTGTTTTGCGAATACTTGAAGAGAATACACAGTTTTTGTGAGAATAAACATTATTTTCGATTACTTGTGCCTAGGTGTAAAAACCGGATGCATCGGGCTACGCATGTGAATTGTTAAAATTTCCGGGTTACGTGTCTGAAGGTACGCTACCACTAGGTGTAAATCGGAGTTTTTGAAAGACACAAGGGTGTAGATTTATCAAATCTGTCCGGAAAAAGTGTTAAATGTAGCAATAGAATGCGTTCGCTTGTCTAAGAAGACAGTTATTACTTCTAACAGTTTGAGAGATTATAAAAATGCCCTGTCGCCCGGGGGCTTAATTTATTTGTTGTGAACGTTCAATATCTGTTCCGAACGGCGACTATAGTTATTAGTTCGGGCTGTGGTGAATAGGATACAAAACCATTTAATAAAAGTGCTCTGTGGCCACGGCACGCAAAGAGTACCCATCAAGTACCCAATCTTGACTTTGATAATTGAGCCTGTTGTGAACGTTTTTTATTAGTTCTTGACTATGATGACACAATTTACTCATTATAACAGTAATGCCGAGCGGATCAATATTGTGATGCCAAAACCAAGATTTGCAAGCGATGTGAGCTGCGCCAGACTTGAGGATGACATATGCAGCGATGCTAAGAAATATATTTACGGCTTGGGTGTTGTTGGGATTAATTCTTTAAGACAATTTTATTAATGTTAATAGTTACATTATATACAGCCCGTGTGTGGCATATTCTCAATCATACTCACACATATTGTTATTTACAATCGCAACTAGATCGGGAAAAGATTGATATATCGGCATATGTTTACTTTATGTACGAATAGCCGAGAATTATTATAAAGACCTTCCTTGGCGCAACATTGTATCCGTTGTATCTATTATATGTATTAATGCTGCCAACACGAAGGTCTACACACGCGTAATTGGTGTATTTTAAAATCAAAAGCATTTGTTGTAAAAAAAGACTACAATTTTTTATCGATAAAAAGTGTTGTGAGTTTAAAATAATCATGCGCACTCTAAGTAAATATTAGTTAACAGTATTGAATTTATTTTATCAGGCAACTGATGATAACAAAGACATTTTTCTAGATGTATTTGTAACAAAAAAAAATTCGATGCAAGAAAACCGTAACAAATTGAGTCATTAAGCAATTTAACTCAATCTTTGTTTTTAAAATTTACTTCTGTACATATTTGACGATTACGATGATAGCAATCTATCGTTTATACCCGAGTCACTGTAAATAATCCATTATGCTATATGAACAAAGATCGGACATGTAACGAAGAATTCAGGGTGATAACAAAAAAGTAACAATAGTGTTAAAAAAAACTAGCAAATTTGAAGCTTAGAAGCAATTTTGACAGAAATTCCAGATTTCAGTTAAACAATATTAGATTCGATATGCTGGTGTATCCAAAAGGAATATACTCTAAAAAAGACTTCGATCATGTCGTCGTCAACATCTATGTACTGTGCGTTTGTTTTGGGTGCGCCATATTGCACTCAATGTCATATGCTGTCAAGAGAAACGTAGGCATTACGTACTAAAATCTGTCAGCATGAGAGCGCGTTTTCTCTAATGTTAAAGGTTCGCACACAGTATATATTTCTGAAATCTTGTGTCGGAATATTTTGCTTTTTTGGTCGAGGTCGAATCTATTACTCTGTTAAATAAAGTAATATTAAACAAAGCATCCTTCAACCTGTAAAAAAAAATCGCTCAGCATACACCAATTACAATAGAAGATCTGCCTGCGAACCATACGTTGCATTGAACTTCTTTAAATTACATTCGTTCTTAATCCCGAGTAATAAAATTGATGATCGAGATACAGCGACAATCGATACTTTATCGGGAAATTTTTGACCACAAATGGTGTGTAAAATCAATTAAAAGACAACCAAATATGTACACGTTCTTACAACGTCTCTCTTCCCTTTCCCCAGATATATAACGAATTGCATCATCCACCTGTTCCATTTCACCATCATCTCCCAAAATCTAATTACATACGTTCTTAATGAGACTCGTTCCACGCGAATTAGACAAGTTAGTCCTCCACCAAGTAGGCTTTCTAGCTCAGAAACGCCTTGCACGTGGTCTGAAACTTAATCATACCGAAGCGACAGCACTCATTGCCTCACAACTTCTCGAATTCATCCGTGATGGCACTTATTCGGTTGCTGATCTGATGAACATTGGAAAAAAGATGCTTGGACGACGACACGTATTATCGGGTGTAGTGGATACGTTGGCAGAAGTGCAAGTAGAAGGCACATTTTCAGATGGAACTTATTTGGTGACCGTGCATGATCCTATTTGTACAGATGATGGGGATTTGCAATCGGCGCTGTACGGAAGCTTTCTTCCCGTGCCTAATAACGATACGTTTACGTTGGAGGATGGAAAGGGTGATAAATATGGCCCTGGTGCATACTCGATTAGGCCGGGGATGATTGTTCTGAATGAGGGAAGAGAGAGAATTGGGGTTAGAGTAACTAATAACGGTGACAGACCTGTTCAGGTGAGAAAGAATTTGGGGTACACCATACGCTCAAGAGTGTCATTGATTGTATTCTTTTGTTACGGATGAGATAACGGCATCTCTACTTTTAGGTGGGCTCCCATTACCACTTTATTGAAACCAATCGAGCTCTCTCATTTGATCGTTCTTTAGCTTATGGCAGACGCCTTGACGTGCCCGCGGGTACTGCCATTCGCTTTGAGCCGGGTGAGAGCAAGACAGTTTCTCTCGTCTCCATCGCTGGGAAAAAACGCATCACCGGTGGCAACGGCATTGCTTCTGGTTACGTCAATTCAAGCAAAGTTACTCAGATAGTCGATGAATTAGTTAAGAAAGGCTTTTCTCACACTGTCCAGTCCGAGGGATCGTTACGAGTCTATCCGTACACGATGGAAAGGAAAGTGTATGCTGACTTTTATGGACCTACCACCGGGGATAGAATCAGATTGGGAAATACCGATTTGTGGTTAGAGATTGAAAAGGATTATACGATATACGGAGACGAATGCAAGTTTGGCGGGGGGAAAGTGCTAAGAGAAGGAATGGGACAGGCAACGGGAGTTGGAGATGATGCCGCGTTGGATTTGGTTATAACCAATGCTATCATAGTAGACTATACTGGAATCTATAAGGTTGGAATAAGTTGTTTATTATGGTTCATGGTTTGTGACATGATAATGAACTCTACCCTTCCTTTCTTTTTCTTGTTACTAGGCTGACATTGGAATAAAGAACGGAATTATAGTTGGAATCGGTAAAGCAGGGAACCCGGACGTGATGGACGGAGTTACTCCCGGAATGATTGTTGGTCCGACTACCGAAGCGCTTGCAGGAGAGAAACATATATTCACTGCTGGAGCTCTAGATGTACACGTTCATTTCATATGTCCACAGCTACTTACAGAGGTATGGAGCAACATATAATTGCATGATACGAATACCAGTTATTTCACAAGATCTACTCATTCATTCGACTTTGTGTTTTAAGGCACTGTCATCAGGTATAACTACTCTCATAGGAGGAGGCACGGGTCCCAACACAGGCACGAACGCGACTACCTGCACACCTGGTTCTCATCACATTAAAATGATGCTTTCTTCCACCGACGACTATCCTCTCAACTTTGGCTTTACCGGCAAAGGCAACTCATCTTCTCCTGAAGGGCTCAAGGAACAGATTATCGCTGGCGCAATGGGACTGAAACTCCACGAAGACTGGGGAACGACTCCGTCCGCCATCGACACATGTTTATCTATCGGTGATGAGTATGATATACAAGTCAATATTCACACGGACACGCTAAATGAGTCTGGGTTTGTTGAAGATTCGATTGGCGCGTTCAAGGATCGTACCATCCATGCGTATCATACAGAAGGAGCGGGAGGTGGACACGCGCCTGATATCATCCGTGTATGTGGAGAGCCAAACGTTATTCCATCTTCCACTAATCCGACTCGACCTTATACTTCGAATACTCTCGATGAGCACGTTGACATGTTGATGGTATGTCACCATTTGGACAAGAACATTCCAGAGGACGTCGCATTCGCCGAGTCTCGTATTAGAGCAGAGACTATTGCTGCTGAAGATGTATTGCATGATATCGGGGCTATTAGTATCATTAGTTCGGATTCGCAAGCCATGGGAAGAATAGGAGAGGTTGTGCTTCGAACATGGAAGACTGCGCACAAAATGAAAGTACAGAGGGGAAAATTGGGAACCGACGAAGATGGACCTGCGGACAACTTTAGAATCAGAAGATATGTTGCCAAGTATACAATCAATCCGTAAGTATCGATGATAGTTATAATTGTAGTAAGCATCTTTAGCGCAATTATTTTTGCCTCTATCGCTCACAATATTTCGACCTTCCTATCAGTGCAATTGTGTGTGGTGTAAGTCACTTAATCGGTTCGATCGAAGTTGGTAAAGTAGCAGACCTGGTCATGTTCACTCCAGCATTCTTTGGCACTAAGCCAGAATTAGTCATCAAATCGGGCGTTATTGTTTGGGGTAACATGGGTGATGCCAACGCATCTATTCCTACCACGCAACCAATTATAGGACGTCCTATGTTTGGTGCTAATGCTGGTGCAGCTTCCAAGAACTCGCTTGCGTTCGTAAGCAAAGCATCCGTTGAGCGAGGTGTAGTTGAAAAATATGGCTTGAAAAAGAGAGTCGAGGCTGTTAATAAGTGCAGGAGTATTGGAAAGAAGGACATGAAATTGAACGATGCATTGCCCAAAATAGAAGTAGACCCGGAAACGTATGCAGTCAGCGTAGACGGAGAACTGTGTGATTGTGAGCCTATGGGCAAGTTGCCTTTGACTCAGAGTGTCTATTTGTTCTAATTGGATGAGAATAGCGATTCGAGAGAAAATTAAGCTAAAAAAATTATATGTTTATTATTATTATTGGCATGTAAATTGTATTAATAATATAAGTTATAACGCTGTAAAGTAGGACATTAAATGCATCCTTTCGGTTTCAACGCAGTTAGCTTTTCAAACCTTTATCATTATGATCGTCCTTTCCTGTCTTTTAGATTCTAGTGACCTTGGCATACGTGGTGAGGTGAATTTATACTGATATATACCCGGGCATGTCCGAATCTGGAATACAATGGAAGGAAGAAGATACAAATGCATGACGACACTGTAAAAAAGAAAGGCAGTACAGCATCGATGAAGAGACACCCGAAGAGTTATTCTACAAGTGATAATTACAATTGATTAATTATGCAAAATAGAATCCGCATTATTTCCATCTTCTAAAATACAAGAGGGATAAAAAAAGCGCCTCAAAATATTACATGACATTTACAGACCTGTGCTTGTGCTGCTCTTAGCCGTCACCCGCTCACCACGTTGAGGTAGCAGCCAGCACATCGAGCGGGAATAGAATAGATTTTGCCTGCGAAAATTAAAAATAAACTAGAACAAAGTTTATGTGGGGGCTTCGCCCCTTGTGTGCTTTTGTTGTAAATGTTATAACAAAGTATAAGTTTATTGTTTATTGATTTATTTATATAGTATATACTACCATTTAGTCATGGAAAAAAAATAACATTTAACATATAGAAAGTAGTGTTATAACTCTTTATGTGGGAGTAAATTTAATTTTGCTGATGCTAAGTCTGTAATTTTGTTTGAAGTATTCGAACGTAATTGTCTATTTGGGGGCTTTGCTTTTTTTTCTTGCTTGATGGACTTTGGTAAATCGCAATCACTATCGATTGTAGCCGCAGAATCAGTGTCTTGGCTGTTTGAAGGTTTGGAAGAGGAAGTTGTTGGATTGGTGATATTATCAGTTCGGCTTCGTTTTGCGGGAGGGTCGGTGGCTTTTAAATTATCAAAGAGTGATTTGTACATGGGTGTTCTTTTTTCCGATAAAGGAGTTGGGGTCGAGTGGTCACGAGATATTTGGTTGGTTGGAGTAATTTGGGGAGACGTGTCGAGGGAAAGAAAGTCAAAGTTGTGAAGCTCTAAGTAGAGCTTGTTGTTATATACGTCTAATTCGCC